GAGCCCTTTACTGTATAAAACAAAACACTTCCTTTCAATGAAACCTTTCAATTACCTTTCTTTCCAAAATCAAATGTCACGTCATCTCCAATCAGTATAAAAGGTGCCCACTGGTTGACGTCACAGCCCCCACTTCTCATCCACTTCATGGCCTCGTGCAGAGATTCACCAGCACTTTTCCCAGCAACAAGGTGATCGTAGAAATGAGTCATCAACTGCGCTGTTGATTTGTCATCCAGGGCCCACAGTGCCACCAACACTGAGCGTGCGCCAGATCCTAAGAATGCTCGGGCAATTCCAACAGCTCCCTCAGCTTTTGTCTGTCCACGAGCACTGTGGCAACAGCTAAGGACTACCAGTTTAGCTCGCAGTTGAACTTTTGAAATGTCAGACATTGTCAATAAGTACAGTCCTTCTTGAGGTATCCCGTTAGGAATACGAAACGATGGTGCAAGGGCAATTGCTCCTCTTTCAGCATCACCGTGTGCGGCGATATGAATCAGGGCCACTGAATTCATCGCTTGAAGTACTGCTTTCTTAGTCGCTTGCTGTCCTAACAAAGGCTCGACACCCAGCTTTTTTGCTATCCTCTTAGCTTCGTTTTCTGCACATTGTAGTCTCGAAATGTTCGTGAGTTTTCCTCTGAAATGCACTTCACCAACATCAGGGTTTCCTACTATCAACGCACCAGTCTGACAATGATAGTCTGCTGGACTTTCATTAAGGAGCTTGAGAGTTCTTAAAGAAGGAACAATACGGATCCTGAAACTCTCAGATAAGTACTTTCCGCTTTCATCAGTTAACGCAGCAAATGGAATTTGGTATAAAGCGCGATCAGGAACAATGATGATTTCAGGGCCCTCAAGGAAGTTCACCAGCGGAGCGATGATAAGCTTGTAACAGATAGGAAGGTTCATTTTGGGTCCTTGGTTAGCTTCACTTTCCTTTCCAAGTCGCCAACCTTTATGGCTGACTTGCTCTCTTGATTTGGATTCTGGCTGAAAACCGTGTAAAGATCGGTCTTCACAAATCTCCTCTGGTAAAACGCCAAAACTTCTGAAATCAAAAAACTCTTCCACTTGTTGACCTAATCCTTTGTGAGCAATTAGATCATTTCCTTTCATCTCCCGGAAATGTGTGACTCGGCCTTCTTTAAGAATCCACAAATATATACTCTCAAAATGATATGAGACGTACAGACAGGTGCGGTTAAATTCTTTGCCCAGGATGCCCTCAATACCAGCCCATGTTCGAGGATTAGCTGGGATTTGATTCTCCACAGAGTACTGAGCTGACATTAAATCTGCCAAAGCCCTGGCATTCGAAAGTTCTGACACATACAAAGCTTCAGTAGGATTTCCGGTTTCACAAAGCAACGCACTGAGATCTCTGTAGGAGCGTATATTGCGATCCGAGAAGGAAATCTTAAATTGATCGTTGTCGCGGAGAGAGCCGCGCACTTGCTCGCTTTTTTCAATAGCAGAAAGAAAATATAAGATAGCTTCCTGAATTTCTCCTTCTTTCAATCTAAGGTACGCCATCGTTTCGAGCGAAAGGAACTGTCCATCAATATCTCCAACTGCTTCACTTAATTCAAGTGCTTTCTTTATATATTCTTCTCCTTTGTCATATTCAGCCAGTTCAACAAGCAGACCTCCAAGTTCTAAGTAACCCCCTGTTTTTATATCCCCATTTCCAATTTCTTTGCTTATCGCAAGTGCTTTTTCAAAATATTCCTTGGCCTTAACAAAGTTACCAACAGCCTGCTCCACAACTCCTTGGAAGAGGTACGATCTAGCCGTGCCTTCTCTGTGTCCAATGTCTGTAAAGATGATAAGAGCTTTCTGATTATATTCGTTAGCTTTGTTATACTTTCCAAGAAAGAAAAATTTAACTCCCAGCGCTTGGTAAGACACAGCTAGGGTAAATCTGTTGCCAATCTTTTTACTGATGGCCAATGATTTTTGCCAGAAGGCTGAAGACTTTTCATATTCGCCAACCGATGCATACACATTTCCAAGAGTTATATAACCTCTCACTTCTCCCTCTTTGTCTCCAATTTCTTTCAGGATCACAAGTGATTTCTCGAGATTTTCTCTAGCCTTTTCATATTCGCCAACTGATCGATACACCATTCCTAGACTTCCGTAAGAGGCAGCTTCTCCTTTTCTGATTCCAATTTCTTTGCTGATCGCAAGTGATTTCTCGAGGTGTTCTCTGGCCTTCTCATATTCGCCAACTGATCGATACACCTGTCCAAGCCTTCCGTAACAGTTAGCCTCTTCTTTTCGGGATCCAATTTCTTTGTAGATCACAAGTGACTTCTCCAGATGTTTACTAGCCTTCTCATAATTGCCAACTGATTCATACACAGATCCAAGGTTGAAGTAAGAGGCAGCTTCTCCTATTCTATATCTAATTTGTTTGCTGATCACAAGTGATTTCTCGAGATGTTCTCTAGCCTTCTCATATTCGCCAAATGATTGATACACATTTCCAAGGTTTGCGTAAGAGGCAGCCTCTCCATTTCTGTCTCCAATTACTTTGTAGATCGCAAGTGATTTCTCCAGATGTTCTATAGCCTGCTCATATTCGCCAACTGATCGACATACAGCTCCAAGGTTTAAGTACGAGGAAGCATCTGCGTTTCTGAGTGTAATTTCTTTGTGAATCGAAAGTGATTTCTCGAGATGTCCTTTAGCCTGCTTATATTCGCCAACTGATTGATACACGGCTCCCAGGTTTACGTGACAGTCAGCTTCTCTTTTTCTGTCTCCAATTTCTCTACTGATCAGCAGCGCTTTTTCAGAGAGTTGTATTGCTTCCGGGTATTTACCTTGATGGCAATACATTACTGCAAGTTTTAAGCTTAGCTCACATTCTTCAAGTCTCTCACCATTTTCATGGTAAATTTGGAGAAGTTTTTCTGCGTATTTTATGGCGTTTGTGTTATCGCTGATAAGACTACAAGCCTTCCACATTGTAAAATATATCCCCTTGTAGAATGATTTGCTGAGTTTGTCGGCTGTTATGGCTGCTCTGTCTTTCAGAATGAACAAGCATTCCTTACACAATTCGATGGCTGTTATATATCGACTGGTGTTGAGAAGGAAGCTTGCAACAAGTAAGCCGATTGAGATGACTGCTATAACTTCGCCTGCGTTGTTCATGTCACTGATCACCTCTGTTAGAATATAACAGAGAATAAAAGTGGGAACTAATTTGGAAACAAGTTTTTTAATCCACTAGTTCACTGCTGTTGTTGTAATTGCAACATAAACATGTATTTTTATCCTATCACATCCTAGGGAAACCGAACGTAGGGCAGCTAAAACATTATAGCGAGGGGAGGAGAGGAGAGCTATTTACAACCTCGTTCCCAGGGTCTCTCTTCGTCCCACTCTCCGGAGCGAGACTGGGGGAGAGATCATGGTCTAATCTGGTCTGGTCACGAGTGTTTTGGATAATTGACAACTGACGGGACCTCAAACTTTTGTCGCGTTCGCTTTTGTCAAACTCAAAGCCGGGATCTCATACGCTCACATGTTCACAAGAAACCTGCCATCAGGCGTTTTTTTGTTGGGGGGG